AAAAAAAAAAAAGGGCTCTGATATCTCCTGGTTCAGAGGCCCCATTGCTCTCCTGCACCTTTACTTTTCAGGGTTCATGTTGTTGGTACCTTGTTACCCAGTACCAATGCAGATATTGTCTGCAGCTTTGTTTTGCTCTCCTAATCGCCCTATTTTCAGGGAATTAGAAAATTATACTGTTATTACTACTCTACTGTCTTCTCAGAATAATTTCATGGATTTTTGACCAGCTACTACTGATATTTAAATAAAGTGTTTTTCTACTAAACCCCTAGGAACCTTCAATACTTTAAAAACGGGGTGTAATGTAAATTACTTTCTGAAGAAGCTGATGTGAAAGAACTTGTTTTAAATAGAGATGTAAGCTAAAATCAAGGTATTACCTGCCTCAGAAGTGAATTACGTGCAATTCCTTCATTTAAAAGTATTTCATGTAGTATGTATACATACAGACACACTTAATTTTATTGCACTTTGTAGGTGTTGCATTTTTTATAAACTGAAGGTTTGTGGCAACCCTGCGTCAAACAAGTCTGTCAGTGCTGTTGTCCCAATAACATTTGTTTGTTATTCGAGAGGTACTCATTCATGATGGGAAAGAACTCAGTTTTTTTGCATGCCATCTGAGCCGCATGTTCATAGTTATTTAGATCATCACCTTTGAAATGAAAAAGAAAATTCATATGCTACAGTATGCCTTATTCTGAGATTGGAGGTGTTTTTCATTTTGATCTAGAAAAGGAATGGCCAGTTGGCAGGGCAACTCAACAGCCTGCTCAACGGTGGGTGTCCACCAGCCAGTGTAAGAATCTCCTGGTGTCATGCTACTGGCAGAAGAGAGTCAGGCAGCTCCCTGTTCGGAGGTTCTGTCACTCAAGCACTGCCCCCTGGTCTGAGATGTCCCGGCAGTGGCAGTGTTTGCCTGGGCCCTTTTCAGCCAGATGTGGTTGGGTGAGATGTATTTTGTTGTTAGATTCTTAAACATTTTTTCCTTTTTAGGAAGACAGATACTCACGACGGGGACTTGTTCTCCCCACGCATTTGCATTGCTTCCATGTTATGTCAGGGGTCAGTGGGAAGGCGGCCAGCCCGCGCTCTGACCCTGCCCCTGGCCTCTTGCAGGTCTGCGATGAGGAGTGGCATCACTACGTCCTCAATGTGGAATTCCCAAGTGTGACTCTCTATGTGGACGGTGTTTCTCATGAGCCCTTCTCTGTGACTGAAGATTACCCTCTTCATCCATCTAAGATCGAAACTCAGCTCGTGGTTGGGGCTTGCTGGCAAGGTAATAGCCATTGGCACCCATTTCCCCCCAGGTCCCTGGAAGTGAGTAACGCTTCTCTGCTGTCTGTGGAAGCAGGTCCTCCTCATCTCACATCCCCTGCCATCACTTCCTCGGACTGCTTGTCCTTTCTGAGGACATGGCTAATGCCGTACTCTAGGGAGCTCTGTTTATGGGTGCTCACTACAGGTGTGTTATGGGACTGAAACACACCTGCACCTTTTCGGGGACCAGGAAGGGTGTGTGGCACACAGGGAGAGTGCAGTGGAGAACTGTTTTATAAATTAATCTGTTTATTGAAAAGTCTATGAAAGCAAAGAGGCAGCAGTCAATAGCCAGGCACAGAATTATAAGTGGACTCCAAGCCAGATGTCTCTTCGAGAGTGTTTGTTTGGTGATTGATAACCCGGTGGGAACACTTTGAACAGATGCTGCATGTGGAAAGGATTTCATGAGGTCTCTGCTGAAAGACCAGGGACAGGCGATGGGGGCAACCACCAGAGCTACAGTCCTGCTTATTCATGCTGCCCGGGTGGCAGACTGTGCTGACTATACACAGGATCTCATCAGTCCTTACAATAAGTCTGTGGAATAGAAGCTATTCTTATCTCCATTTTACAGCTGAAGAAACTGAGGCTCAGAGCCCAGGACTATTACCCAGCTGGTTAGTCACAGTGCTGGGATTTGAGTCCCTGAGGCCAGTGTCTCCAGGGAGGGAGCTCTGACCCAGTGGATCAGGGATTTTCAATCTTCTCTGTGCCTTGGAGCCTGTTGGCATCTGGGGAAGCCTGGGGACCCCTTCTTGGGGTAATTTTGTAATTATAAAATATGATAATACGGTTATTAATCTATAAAATAAAATACATAGGCTTTCTAAAGTAACTAAATTGATGTGCAGATATTAAAGTACTAGAAGACTAAGCTTGTGAAATATTAATACCTGGGTTGCTTTATTAACAACTGAGGAGCAAGATTTAGCCACAAGTCCAGTGCCTGCCGTGAGTGGAAAGCAGGGAGGGGCTTTGTGGCGACCACGCGGCGTGACAGGAAAGCGTCAAGGACTTCAGTTGGCGCGTCAGTCGCTGCTAATGCTCCTGTGGTTTGTAGCTGACATTTATGACCAAGGGAAAAGCGAAGTTGGAGAAGTTAGTGGCAATAAGCATGTCGCTCCCCCATCCGGGTTCACGGGCCTCACCTTTGACTCTGATGTTTGACTGTGTCAGTCTGTCGCCATCCCTACACATACCTGCTCAGTAATAGACCTTTTGAATGTTTTATCTTCCTGTAGAAACACTGTGCCTTGAGTTAGGTTAGAAACTTACAAAGAGCCTAATTCCCAAGACAGCTCGCTTATTTTAGGAGAATTTGAATTTCATAATTTTTCTGCAGATGCTCTCAAATTAGATCAAGACAGTATTTTTTAGTGAACACGTTTGGCTGATTCGCAGATTTAATTTTGGTGACGGTTCATCTATGAGAAGTTGGAACGTGAGACTAAGGAGTGAGGAATAAATTACGAGGGATAGGAATTTAGTTGCCAGCCTTGAAATTTCAGTTCAGATTTGCTTCCTATATTAAATGACTATTTCTGAGAAATTGTTTTTAAAATAAGAGTAAAAAAAGCAAGTGCGAACCTCAGTGCTATTTTATATCCTGGGTAGTTTGTTGGTGGGGCTAAAATAAGCCCTCATGTTCCGCTCAGCATCACAGCATCTCTGCTGTCAGATGGCAGTTACTTTTCCTCCTCTTCGTCTTTCCACCTCAGCCCTCCCAAGACCCTCAGCCAGAAGGATCCACCTAAATTCCCAAGCCAAACATACACAAATTTTAAAAACTTTTTTATTCACTAAAAGGAAGAAAGGAAAACTTTCTTCCTTTGAGCAGACTTGAAGCCACTTCCCTAACAAACCCACATGCAGAGCCTGCTCAGAAAGTGAGGCGGGGCCTGCGGGCACTTCGATGTTAGAGGACCCAGGCTCGCCACCGACTGATTTATCTGTTTCTCTGGGCGAGTGCCATACCCTCTGAATATCCCTTCCTGTTCAGAAACATGGTTAAAAATGCCTTCTCTTCTCTGTCACTTAGGTGTTAAAGTCTAGACCGATGTGAACTTGCCTTGAACTTCCAAAAAATACGTACTTTTGTATGTTGACCTGCCAGGGTTTGAGTGCAGACATGTATGCCCCAGCCTGTGTGCACAGATGTCTTCCATTAGGAAGGAAAGGGGTGTGGGTCCAGGGTTTGGCACTGTTGACAGACTCGGTGCATCTCTGCAGTCGGTGCAAGCCGCCTCCCGGGAACGCCCTACCTAGTACACTGCACAGCTTGGGTAGGTCAGTGAATCCATGTTCGTGCTTTTATTTATCTAATTTTGAATCCACCTGTGTTTTGGCAAGGAGGATGTGGGAGGAGGAAGTGAAAATACAGAGATGCATGGATGGTAAATACCACTTCTGGTAAGAGGGGACCTGATCTGATACAGGTTGGAGTCCAGGTAGGGAATGTCCCAAAGAGGGACAAGGGGAATTTTTCTCTTTGTGTTTTATATTTGGTAGCTTTTCAAGACTAATTTTCAAGGTTCAGTGTGAAGAACCTAATCTCTCAGTCCTTTTCTATTGTCTTTGTGTTGCTTTCCTACAGAGTATTCAGGAGTTGAAAATGACAGTGAAACTGAGCCCGTGCCTGTGGCCTCTGCAGGTTGCTGGATTTTTTCCCCTACAGTTCACTCTTGTGTTTCATTTAAAGACAAGACATCTATTCATTCCACATTTTGCATGAAATGCCTGAGTTGCACAGTGGTCCCGACACCATTTGAGCTGCTGCTTTGCATTACACTGCCCCCATTCCTTCCTGGGATTTCCCATTTCTGCCCATTCTGATCCCAACTGAAGTGAGGAGGGTGAATGACTCATGACTGCAGCTCCCTAATGGGGCTTCTCTCCCGTCATCGGATTCTGCCCGGGCCCCACTGCACGAGTTCCCCTGCCGCCACCTCACAGGCCAGGTTTGGAGGCCGCCTCCTGGTTCTCATGTGGCTGAACCACGAGACAGGAAAAGACTCATTTCTAGATATTCTGTCCTGACCCATACTAAATTTTAAATGTGTTTCTTAGAAATCTCACTCCTTAGTGACGATTTCCGGCACCTAGTGTCCTTGTCAGGGAACGAGACTAGCGGCTCAGGGGCACCTGGCCCTGGCTCTTTGTCACAGTGTGTCAGGGGCCATTTCCTGGGTGTTTACTTTCCTCCGAACGACTTCACTTCCCAGTAGTCCTCGGTGGTAGGGGACAGCATGATGGGCCTCAGCAAAAGGGTCATCCGGAGGGCCTGGCAGGGCAGGTGGACTGTAAGGCTCCCTTTCATCTTTCCAGTCAGGTTTGCATAGGTTCGCCCCAGTTTTGTTGCTGTTCCCCGAGAATGCTCAGTTAGAAAGAGCAGCCCAGAGCGCAGTCCTGCTGATGGAGGAGGCGGGGGTGGAGAGGCTGGTGCTGGGGGGGAATGTCACCTGCGCGCCTGGCCGGACATGTGGGGACACTCACAGGACCGCTTGGCTTCCAGGCTTGGGGTGAGGGACCCTCAACTCCTTTCTTCCAGGCCATATGCATGACCATGACCTTAAGCGATTTAATTCCTTCATTGTGCTTCCATGTAGATTGCAAGGCTAACAGAATTTGTTAGGAACTAACCCGCATGTCCATCCATCAAGCCTCCCCCACTGGTAACACTGCGTTGCAAGGAAAGCCGGGGGCACATGTGTAACAGCCAACCGTTGCCGCCCATGTTCCTCAGGTGGTGACCGGCACTTGGCCCAGTTTTTCCGAGGCAATCTGGCTGGCCTGACCATCCGTCCCGGGAAACTCGCGGATAAGAAGGTGATTGACTGTCTGTATACCTGCAAGGAGGGGCTAGACCTGCAAGTCCCCGAAGACAGTGGCAGCCGTGTGAAGGTAACGAGCACTCAGGACTTGCTAGGCCCCAAGCGTGGCAGCTGCTGGCAAAGGATTGATCTGTGATTGATCCTGACTTGTTTTTACTCGTAAGGCCTCTGACGCCAAAGGTGTGGGGCTTTTTCCACACACCAACCAATCCCCCCTTCCTCCAGGTGCCCAACAATTCAGTTCAGTTCTGCCACCGACTACCTAGAGGTAGCGCAGGACCCCCCCAACCCAGCCACCCCCCGGGCTTTGGGCTCAGTCCCACAGGACCACCCCCGTCTCTGACGCCAGCTGCAAGCGTCAGTGTCACACACTTCTCTCTGACTTTGGCCACAAAGTTGGGCTTTCCACAATTCCCACCTCGGGTCAGTCATTTGCTAAAATGACTCAGAAAACATCTTTCTTACTATTGCTGGATTATTATAAAGAACACAGCTGAGGAACAACCCAGTGGAAGAGATGCGCGGAGCAGGGAAGCAGGGGGGGTGGGTGAGGCTGAAAGCGCCAGGCGTCTGATCACGTGGTTGGGTCCTCTGGCAGCCCGCCCCCATCCCGAGACAATCTGTGCCCAACCAGGAGTCACTCAAGGACATAATCGGCAGTGTGATTGGAAGAAACAATAAAAAAATCACTTAGGAGTACGAAAAGATGCTCTTCTCACTTGGGAAGTTCCACGGGTTTTAGGAGCTTGTGCAGGAAACCAGGACAAAAGACCGGATGGATGTGTATTTACCACCATAGAAGAAGGTCTTGGTCAGTGGAATTACATGAGTATTTCTTCTCCAAGTCACCAATGCAAATCAGTCCCTAGCTAAATGCCAAAGCGTTCATGGTTCCAGCTTCTTACGATTAGCACCTTATTCCTCTATTACCTGTTTGGCATGATTTCAGATCCATGCCAGCCCCAGTCAGTTGGTGCTGACCTTGGAAGGAGAGGACATCGGAGAGCTGGACAAGGCCATGCAGCGTGTTTCCTACCTGAACTCGCGGCAGTTCCCCACACCTGGGATCCGAAGACTTAAAATCACCAGCACGGTCAAGTATGTGGTGATTTTTAGCAATCAGCCTGTCTTAGGCTAGTGACCCTTGAGAAGAAAATGTGTGTAGTTAGGTTTTTAAGATAACCCGGCCTCCCTTCTGTAAGGAAAGGTGAGCCATCACTCATTCCAGGAAGTTTGAATGATGCTTCTGAGCAGTGTTTGGCAGCACGTTCCGGGGGATTGCTGTCTCCTGCCCTCCCCCTCCCACCCCTGCCCAGGTATCTGTGGATTCCTGTCTGTCCCACCTCCACATGTCTTTGAGTGTGTGGCCTGTGAAACCTTTCTTAAAGCCCTGACCCACCTTTCCCTTCTCCCCTCCTTGTCGGCAGGTGTTTTAATGAGGCTGCCTGCCTGTCAGTCCCCCCAGTAGGTGGCTATGTGATGGTTTTGCAGCCAGAGGAGCCCAAGATCAGCCTGAGTGGCGTCCGCCACTTTGCTCGAGCGGCTTCTGAATTTGAGAGCTCGGAAGGGGTTTTCCTCTTCCCCGAGCTTCGGATCATCAGCACCGTCACGAGAGAAGTGGAGCCCGAAGGGGAAGGGGACGAAGACCCCACAGGTAACAGCCCCTCTTCCCAGGACAGCTGCCCTTGCCTCGGCTTGAAACTAGGTGGCTGACACCTCACTGCGGCTGCTTGCTGGGTTCTCTTTCTGGGGCTTTGGGGTATTTGAACGTTTTAATACCGTTCTGGATGGGGTTTGCTTCTGGAGTCTGACCTGTGGGCCCGAGCTCACTGTGCCCCTGGGAAACACACGCGGAGGGTCCTTTCATCTCCTGTGGGCTTGTTGTCAGCATCGGAGAGGCACCTCACGGAGGCTGAGAGGACTGAGATGGGGGTGGGAGACACTCCCTTGCCTGGGGATGCTGGCCAGCCTCTGGGAGGTCAGGGCACCCCCATTCTTGGGCCTTCCCCGTGGCCAGTCCTCTGAGACACACAAAATACCCCATTTCTTGAAAGTGACTCTCCGGTGAAAAGCTCTTGAGTTTGAGGATAAGCTGGCGGCTGCCAGGTGTGACCAGCCGCCCTGGGCTCTGCAGCCTCTGCTACTTCTGGTCACACCATTTTTGCAGTTCAAGAGTCACTTGTGTCTGAGGAGATCGTGCACGACCTGGACACTTGCGAGGTCACGGTGGAGGGTGAGGAGCTGAACCGAGAGCAGGAGAGCCTGGAGGTGGACCTGGCTCGCCTGCAGCAGAGGGGCGTGGAGGCGAGCAGCTCCGACCTGGGCATGATTTTCACAGGTGAGAAGGGCAGACCTTGAAGCTCCTCGCCCCCTGGAGGCACTGGGAACGCGAGCCTCGCCAGGCTCAGTGTGGGCTCCTCACGTTTTCCCCACAGGGAGGGGATGTGCAGGCCCTGCCTTGCGTTCTGTCCTTGATAGGAGCGGAAGTTAGGCATGAGGTGGCTTCTCCCCCAAGCAAGGGAAAAATGCGCCCTCCCGCCTGCATCCCTTCCCACAATCGGAAAACTCAGCGGAGCCCGTGCCCGACCCCGGTCCTGACTTCTCCCACCCAGTGATCTCACCTCCACCCCAACAGGCGTGGACTCCATGGCCAACTACGAGGAGGCTTTGCGCCTCCTGCGCTACCGGAACTGGCACACCAGGTCCTTGCTTGACCGCAAGTTCAAGCTCATATGCTCCGAGCTGAATGGCCGCTATGTCAGCAATGAATTTCAGGTGGAGGTGAGTGCAGGGCTCCCGCCAAAAAGGGCCAGCAGCTCAGTGATTGACTGAGTTCCCCACTCAGGCCCTAATGTTTGCAAACACCAATTTTTAGAGCTCTCATGGTGGCAGCTATTTGGGTGCATCCCAGGGGTGGTAGCCTGTTCCTGCTGGGGGGCTGCTGCAGCCTAGATCTGCACAGATTTGGGGTGACAGGTTGTTTGCAGGGTGGGCCGTTTGCTCCCCTTTCAAGGGGCCTGAGGGAGCCTTTGGAGAGGTTGGTCAAGACTAAGTAGCAGTTACTGCCTTGGCGGGCAGGGATGAGGTTGTTCTCGAGATTTGACGTTGTTTAGAAATGCAGTTCACAGGGTGCCCCCACGTCCTTTGCAGATCGCTGGCCCTGCTGTAAATGGCCTCTCTTGGCCCAGGGTGAGGGGTGCAGCCATGGGGCCAGCACCTGGCAGGGTTGCTGTCTGCCGAGCCTGGGAGTGGTGATGCAGACCAGCGGGGCCAGAGACCACTCATCCTGCTCTGACATCTTCAACAGACCTAGATAGCAGCTCCTTCTGTGGTCCAGGAAAATGGACCCAAAGTTATACTTAGCAATTGTATGTCTCCACTGTGACCTCATAGCAGCAGAGTACTGGACTCTTGGTGCTGAGAAGCGATGTGTGTTTTGTTTGAGCCAAAGGGTAATGAATTTGGAAGAAAACAGAGGGTTATGATTTATGCTCTCTTTTCATGTGGCTGTGGTTTTTGGAAAAAGAGGGGAAATGGTCTCTGCCAGTGCTTCTCAAACAACCCATGGTGAAGGACCACTGGTAGTCATTTTGTACCTAGTCTATTTTGGACGGATTCTTCAAAAAATAAAAACGAATGATTAGAACAGTGATCTTGGGTGTATGACAGTATCGGAGTGTTAGGACATAAGCACTCACCCTTCTTTTCTGTCGTTTGCTCATCACTCACCACACTGATCTGGGGGCCACTTCGAGTAGTGCTGTCCTTGTTAGCTTCTGAACTGCATCCTTTCTCACAGACACACTCAGGCTGCCTGTCTGTCTCTGCTGCAGGTGGACGTGATCCACACGGCCAACCCCGTGGAACACGCCAGCTACCTGGCTGCCCAGCCGCAGTTCGTGCATCCTGAGCACCATGCCTTCGTTGACCTCTCGGGCCACAACCTGGCCAAGCCCCACCCGTTTGCAGGTAGGACAGCATGGATAAGTCCTGAGGCCTCTAAGCAGGGTTGACGGGCACCCCTCGCCCGTCCTGCCATGAGGCCAGTGCCTGCTCAGGATGGCCACGGGGAAGTAAGGGGCCGCACCGGGATTTGAACCCTGTGCTGGGTCTTCCTGTTATTTCTTCCTGTCCTTTGGGGGGTCGTGCGAAGCATGCCGTCTGCGCCCGGAGGGTGTAGCACAGTGGCCCCCAGGTCGGGCTTGGCACTGCAGCCGCCTCTCCATCCCACTTCAGGCGTCCCCGGCACTGCGGCCGTCGTGGCCGTGGGCTGCGTCAGCTTCTTGGTGTTCATGGTCGTGCTGGGAGCGTTCCGGATCCGCGCTGCTCACCGGCGAGCCACACGGGACCAGGACTCCGGGAAGGAGAACGAGATGGACTGGGACGACTCCGCCTTGACCATCACTGTGAACCCTATGGAGGTAGGTTCGGACAGTGACCCCACAACCAAAAACCACTGCAGGGCAGGCCTGAGGCCAGGCCCATGCAGAGAAGCACAGCGGCCATAGTGCCTTCATGTCATGTGCTGTAAAGGCCGTGGGAGCCACATGACAGCTCTGCAAGGTGCAGGTGTGTCTGTCCTCCAGGTGGGTAAACTGAGGCTCAGGGAGGCCATTCTAGGTCGTGCCACCTAGGCAGTGTAGAGATGGGCCCTCCCTGTGGGCACAGGCCCTGTGGCAGGACCAGACCTCTGTGTCCCTTCTGTCTTTGGCGAGATGCCTTCTGCCGTCAGCCGGTGCCCCTCACATGGAGCTGGCACGGGGGCTCCCTTCCTCTGTGGCTCCGGGAAGGTGGGCAGCGCCGAATGGCTGGAGCGGGACTCAGGCGCTCTCTTTGCCAGACATACGAGGACCAGCCCAGCAGCGAGGAGGAGGAGGAGGAGGAGGAGGCAGGGGACAGCGAGGACGGCGAGGACGACGACGACCTCACCAGCGCCGAGTCGGAAAGCAGCGCGGAGGAGGAGGGGGCCCGCGGGGACCGGCCCGGCGCCAGCAGGCCGCAGCAGCTGGAGTGGGACGACTCCACCCTCAGCTACTGAGCGCCCGCCGCCCTGCCCGCCACTGCGGGCGCCCCCGCCGTCCCGCCGTGCCGTCCCCGAGGGTCCCTGATGTACAAAGTCATTCTGGCCAGTAGGTCCGCAGACCCTCCCCATCGCTGACCATCTGCCTGTGCTCCGTGTAGGACCGTAGCCCCCCGCCCGCCTGACCTCTCGTAAGTCACGGGAGGAGCACACACCCGCCGCCGTGGAGAAGCTGCGAGGACTGGATGTGGGACCGACGGGTGAAGTTGCTCACTCCCACCTGCTCATCCTTTTCTTTTTTGATTTTTGTTTTCTAAGAGTTTTTATTTTTTTCTGAACTAGTGCATGTATAAAGTGGCAGAATGGGGTTAACATGTAGATGATGAACTGACTTTTTAATATTTTGTACATAAATTGGGATCTCTCCTGTCCTTTGTGCCGGCATAACCGAGGGCTGGAGTGCAACGTGAAGTCAAAAACACTGAGCGCAGGAGAGACCCCGTGGGCTTCAGCCTCTGCCCCCCGCAGTCAAGGAGAAGGGGCCTGCCCCGCCCCAGCCCTGCTCGGTACAGCCCCGGCCTCTAGGTGTGTGGCCGGGGTAGGGATTTCTCTGTGCTGCGCAGTAGTGGGTGCCGGATCAGGGACCCCTCTTTGGAGGCTGAAAGTGGCCAGGGCTCTCCTTTGGGATTCTTCCCATCTCTCATTTGCGGAGGGGTGGGGTGCCAGGGACCCTGGCCTCTCACCACACTCCTTCAGTGACCAGCAGCCCCTTGTTTGGGAATCTGGGCTTCCCATGCACAGCTATGGGGTTCGTATCTGCCGGATGCACGTTTCCTCGCTGGTGGAGCATATATTTGATGGTGTGGATGGCAAACTGACCACTTGGTTTGGAGACAGCGTCACACCTGAGCGGTCTGTACTTAGAATGTCCGTTAAAAGGACACAGAGGCCTGAAGGCAGACAGCCTGTGCTAGACTCCCCCCAGCAGCCCATGCTCGCCTCCCCAGAGCCCGGGGGTCAAACCCACCGTAGTAGCTTCGCACTGTGGGGAAGGAAAAGGAGAGGAGTGCCATGAGCTAACCCCACAGCACTTTGTTTTTAATTTACATGTAAAAATTTAGATTTCTAAAACTGGGTTAAAATAATTTTGAATACTGTTCTCTGATCAGAACCGCTAGTTTCGAGGACACTGCCGGCTGTCCCGTGTTGTGTGTGGCTGCCCTCCCTGTACTGTCACTGTAGCTGCTCTGTGTAGACAATGGATAGACGCAAATGCAGGCACCAGGCGTGCTCGCGCTGTGCCCCATGGAATCACCCTTCAGACATGTATGTCGATAGGTCGGAAAGTGTATACACTACAATAAAGTTCTGGTTCTAATTCCCGTGGGAGACCGTGTTGTTTCTTTAACCTTGTTTTTGTTCTCTCCCTACAATCCCATTTCTTTTTGAGCCGAGAAAAATAACATAAGAAGGCTTTTATTTCTTTTAATCTGCTTATACCTCTCATTTCAAGGTTCACAGAGTGCTGGTCTTCAACCTGCATCAGTTATGTTGAACTTGCCTTTCCTATAAACAATAAATGATTTAAAAATATAGAAAAGATTTCTTCTTGCCAGGCACACAGGCCGTGCACCCAAGCCAGAAATTGCTGTGTATGTGCAAAGTGTGCCGCCCGCGCAGGGAGGCAGACTCACGCAAATAAATAACAGACAGACATACACTCGGCTTTTCCTATTTCCAGACAGGTGAGGCGGGGCTAATGGATTCAGCGCTCAGCTGGGGACAAGAGTGTGGTTGGTGGCACCGACTGCTTCTGGACAGCGCCTCACAGCTGCTTCTAGCTACGAAGAAAAAAGATGGCACCTGGGTTATTGAGAGGCAGCTATTCTGGCTCTGCTGGGCCTGCAAAGCCTCTGAGGTCAGCAGTGTAGCCTGGCGGGCCCCAGTCAGCTGCTAATAGACGGGGATCACCTGTGGGCTTCCAAAAGCCCAGATTCCTAGTACCATCTCCAGAGTGGCTTTTAGAAGACTGGGAGAGGCCCAGGAACCTGCATTTCAAGAGCACCTCAACTGCCTAATGCTAAGCCTGAATGGTTTCAAGGTAGGTACTGTCTTGAAAAGGTCCCACCACAGCCCTGTCCCATGCTGGTACCTCATTACAGCAGGTTCTCAAGGGGGAGAGTTCTGGAAGAGGAACCTGGGTACCTCCTTCCTTAAGAGGCACAGTACAGACAATTGCACAAAGCATCACCTGCCTCAGCCTTATAATCAGGATGAGCTAAGTCAAGCTCAAATCTTTTTAATGTGTTTTCAGGACCAGCATATAGTAGACTTTGGGGCTGAGGCTGATGTCCTGAGCCATAGAGGTTCACTAAGTAGTTTGGCTGTTTTTTTCTTACCCGCAAACAAAATTGCTTTACAACAGAGAGATGAGCGAATTCCTGTACCCAAGAGTCACTTTAAAAAAGGAAAGCAAGCATCCCTGAACGTAGAGCTACCCAGGCGTCCCCTGGGAGCTGTCCAGGACTCAGTCACGGGGAGCACGAGGGCAGAGGGGAGAACGGGGACTCAGGCACCCTGTCTGGATGGTGGGCACCAGGAGCTGCTGGCCCCAAGACCCGTGCAGTCCAGCAGGGGCTTGAGAGGAGGACAGGCTTCCGGGTGGGGAGGCTGTTCTTTGCTGGGTGCGGACCCACCAGCTGGAAGATGGGTTACAATCCTTGGTGAGACACTCAAAGCAGTGCCTCCCCTTCTGAGCCCAGGGCCCTGACGGGACCGCAGGACAGCACCCACCCCTGCACAGAGGATGCGCTTCCGTTTATGGCTGTTGGTTCCTGAAACATTTCAAGTCATAAATAAATAACCAGTGTAAACAAAAGGCAATTGTGTAGGTTCTTTCCCATGGGGTGCAGTCAGGCTTTTAGGCTTCGAAGGCCAGCGAGGGAGCCTGGTTCCCAAGACTGACGGCAAGACCTGCTACTGCCTGTTGTCTTTGGACACGTTGTGGGCCAGCCAGTTCACTTTGGTTTTCCAGCTCTCCCGCAGGGCTTCGTTGAACTTCACTCGGAAGTGCTTTAGAGCCTCCTCCTCTGTTTTTCCCAGTGCCAGAGAGTCCTGAGGCAGAATCATCAAAGCAGTGAGCTCAGTAGAGAGAGGCCTGGGCCCTACTCTTTAAGGCAGCCCCTCTGGGTGTTTTAAATTCACCGTAAGAGAACTGCGTGAGGGGGAATAGAAGAGACCACCCAACATCCCTTGGGAAAGCTCTTCATGCGGGTCCCAAACCTAACCCACCCTCAAAGTAAGATGCCAGATGGTGCCAGAAGGGCTTGGCCCCAAAGCCCACAGGTGGACAGGCAGCCGCCTTCTCCACTGGAAAAAAAAAACTCCAGGGGGAGGAAGCAGGCAGCAGCTCTGCTGTGCAGCAACTGGGCACCAAGGAGAATGCCTGGCAGGGACTTGCAGCCAGTGCTCAATGCCCACCCCAGCTTCTCACAAACGGAAAGACACGGGAAGGAAGTGCTGCATGGCCTCCAGCCTTTTTGTAGAATTGGAAACACCTAAAGCCTGTGGAGGACCAGAGGGTGGGCGCAGGGAGACCCCAGCACAACAGAACCGGGCTGACTATCTGGACACGGAGCCAGGAGCGCCCTGCAGGGCCCACCACACGAGCTGCTTGGAGGCAGGCCTGGGGAAGTTGGGCTGCTGAGACTGCCCTGGCATTTACCTTAAGATACTGGATGTCTTTGGAGCAGCTGAGCTCAGGTAGGCCTGCTGCCCGCATCAAGGCGAAGAGGTGCAGGAAAAGCAGCCCATGGCGCCGCAGGATGGTGTAGGCTCGCTCGCAGTAGCCCCGGAATCTGCAGGCAAAGCAGGCTCACGGTCTCCCCAGGCGGCACCAGCCTGCCCCCACCCCGGAATCGGCCCCCACCCTGCTAACTGGCCCCCCCCTCCCAGCCTGCCTCCCCACACAGGATCATCCCTGCACCCTGCCTCTGGCCCAGGCACTGAGGGCCGCCCTCACCTTTCAAATTTCTCACTGTTATTCGTCTTCCCCTGCTGGATCACATGCACAAAGTCATAGGTGAGGATGAATGGGACCCGCTCACGGTTGATTCCAAACTTGGTCTTGAAATTCCCCAGGAAGTGGCCAAAATCAATGTGGAACAGCTGTAGAGAGGGAAGTTCACAGAATGAAGGAGACAGGACAGCACTGGGTCCACAGGACCCCGGGGAGGGAGGGGAGACTGGAAGCTGGGAGGGGGCTCTGCTGAGCAGGAAGGCAGGTGGCAGTGCCTGCGCTGCCCTACCTGCCCATTCTCCCGGATCATGATGTTGTCACTGTGCCGGTCACCAATGCCCAGCACATAGGTGGCCACACAGTAGCCAGCACAGGAGAGCGTGAACTCCTCAATGGCTCGGTCCAGGGCTTCCCTGCATGTGGGGAGCATGGATTAAAAATGCCAGCCACACCATTTGCAGCAACTTCTACCATAAAGTGGGGCCTATGTCCCCTCCCCTAGGATCTGGCCTTGTGACCTGCTTGGACCAACAGAACATGGAGAAAGCATTGCTGGACTCATTCCGGAGCCTAGGCCTTAAAACACCTTGCAGCTCTTGAACCTTCCCTATGGTCACGTGAGGAAGCCCTGGCTGATATACTCAGTGAGGGGAGACCCCAGAGACATGTGGCTGGGGCCACCTTAGACCCTCCAGGCCCAGTCAAGCCACCAGGTGACAGTAGCTTCATGAGCGATTCCAGCAGAACCACTCAGCTGAGCCCGCTCAGGTGGCAGACTTGTGAGCCAATGATAACTGGTGGTTTTACGTCTCCAAGTCGCAGGTGCTTGTCACACACAATAGCTAACTGGTACATGGGAAGAGAGAGCTGACCCAGCCCAGCACATACACGGCTGAGCCAGAAGCCACAGAGAATGTCACGGGTCCTTCCCCTTACCTGTGGCTCCCAAACCACACCTCTTGGAGAGGAGAAGGTGTCAGTTCCTGGGGCCTGAAACCTACCCAGGGTTCTTGGATTTGAGCCAGTTGAGCAGAGCATCCTTGTTGAAGGCGGCCGTGGCTGCCATGTTGCTCTTGTTCAGCTGGATGTTGGCAATGGTGTCTGAGTGGAGCACCACCTCAATGAGGCCCGTGCGGTCCCCAGTGGAGAGACAGCCGTAGGGGGTCATTCTAGCCAGGTGGGAGCGGGGCAGGGAAACAATGTGGTCAAGGGCTGTGCCTGAGGCTGCTTGACCCCCAAAGAGCAAGACACCCAAAATAGCCACAGGACATGCTCGTCAAGCTGCTGAAAAGGAGAAAGGTGCTGGGGAGGAGGCTTCGGCCCTCGGGGCTCTGGGGAGGGTTCCTTGGAGAGCTTGGTATCAGCACCCAAGGAGCAGAGGGAAAAGTGAGCACATTGGCTGAGCTCGCATTTGCTCAGACAGTGAAATCCAGGTGGCTTGGAAGAAGATGCCAACTGCTTCCCAAGACGAGGCAGGAGGCCAGGGCCGCTGGGCAAAGGCAACAGTGGAGCCAGACGCTACTAAGCTCCAGGCCCTGTGGCCCCGCCCCCTCCCCCGGCCCTCGCTTTACACGGGTCCCTGCTCTCAGAACAGCCTTTTTTCTAACAGAGGCGGCAATGTCAGCGTTGACAGAGGACCCCTCCAAAGGGACAGGGGCTTAGGCCTGGCACAGGCACAAGAGGGCGTCAGGAGGCCCCTCACCTCAGGTCCAGCCCCTCCTGCTTCCACAGGACATCCATGAGCTGGATCATCTGCAGGGTCAGCATGTCCTGGCGGAGGTCTGTGAAGCCAGCGGGAAGGAAAAGCATGAAATTCTGGTGGGTTCTCCACTCTCAGCCATACCCAGACCCCAAAGTCCCAGGACCCCATCTTCTCAGCTCACTCTCCTGGAGTACCCCAGGGTCCCCCGAGAGCAAGGTGTAGGGGGGCCAAGTCCTCAGCAGCTCCCACCCCCAGGCCCTCTGCTCACCATCGCCGTTCTTAAAGATGATGCCCACGCCGCCATCACCGCCGGCCTCGTCGTTGCTGTACACGACCCACAGGGGCTTCATCTTGGAGTCCATGAAGGTGCACTGCTCCACGCTGCCAGGCCAGAGAGCGTTCAGCAGGGGCCCCTCCGCAGACCTCGGTGGGGGGCAGGAGGAGGCCCTCCAGGGCTTGGGGCTCACCAGACTTCAGCCAGCAGGGTGCTGGGGTCGAGCGGGGACTGCAGGTGGGAGAGGGCCTCCAGGTAGGTCTCCTGGCGCATGCACAGGTGCATCAGCTCCTTGGTCTGCGGCTTGGCGGTCTTCTGGGAGCTCACTTTCACGATGTCGTTCAGAGCCTTCAGTTTGCTCAGCGCATCCCCCTGGGCCAGGAAGGGGAGGGCTTTGAGCCTCAGTCCCGCCCAGGTGGCTCAGAGGGGCAGGGCCAGCCCGCAGGGGAGCCCGGTGGGGCGGGGGCACACCTGAGCCTCACCTGCTTCATCAGCACCTTCATGTGGTGGGTGCTGCCCCTGCAGTAGGCCTCCATGAGGAGGCCGAAGCGCAGGGCCACCGAGGGCACGTGCATCTCGGAGCTGGGGGAGGGAGAGAGGGGTGAGCCCCGGGGCCAGTGGGAGGGTGGGGCCCCCAGGTGAGAGGCACCTCCCCCCACAGCCCTCCCCACCACCTACCGGAGGTGCCAGAAGAGGAAGTGGCCGATCTTGCGGTTGGCCAGCGCCCGGTCGAGCAGGAACTTGGTCAGCTCGCAGTCCAGGTAGGCCTCGTACTTGAGCACCTGTACCAGCTGCAGCAGGTACTGGAAAAGCTCATCGTCCCTGCAAAGGAGGGAGGCCTGCTGGGGCGCGGGGCTCCGCGGCCTAGGACGGGTCTGAAGAGGCCTTACCCGAGCTGGCTGACGGGCCGGGCGAGGTTCGGGTCCCACCCACTACCCAGGAGCAGCAGGCGGGCCCGAGCCACCCATCCAAGAAGGAGGGAGCCTGTGGCACTCACGTCAGTTTGCGCAGGGACTTGATGGCAAAGGAGCTCACGTGGCGGTCGGGGAAGCTGAAGTCCAGCAGCTCCAGGGCGCTCAGGACAGGCAGCTCGGGCCACGAGCACAGCAGGCAGAGCATCTGCGGGGCGGCAGTCAGGCGGGCGGCAGTCCGCCCAGGCTCCGCCCCCTGCCCGGCCCCTCCCCCGCCACGCACCTGGGCCACGTCCTCGTGCTTGTTCCACTTGGTGACCAGCAGCAGCCGGGCCAGGGCCTCCGGGAAGCACCCCTGCACCTCGTGCCGCATCTTCCACACCAGGTCCTTCTCATGCTCATACAGCTCCCCCGACCCCCGCCGCTCCAGGATCTCCTGCAGCTGCAGCTGCTGGGGGGTGAGGGTGGGTGAGGGCTGGTGCCCAGCCGTGCACCCCACACCCTCGCCCGCGACCCCGCTCACCTCCTCCTCTGTGAAGTGACCGTGCTCCCCCTGCCGCCCCAGCTCCAGGATCTGCAACAAGCAGCGGCCTTCAGTGGTGCCCTGGGGCCTGGCCCAGGCAGGTCCCCAGAGTGGTAATCGAACCTGGGTACTCCCGACCCTGTGGGCCCGCAGCCCTTAGTGATGGAGACCGTCCTGTGCACTGTAGGGCGCTTAGCAGCACCCTGCCTCCACCCAGAGACGCCAGGAGTCACTCCCACTGGCTGTGACAGCCAAAAGTGTCTCTCCTCATTACCCAAAGTGCCCTGGGGAGCAAAATGGGCCCTGGTTGAGAACCCCTGTTCTAGGGCACTTAAGGAAGGATTCTAGAGTCATGGACGCCCACCAATGTGTGCTCTGGGGAACCCCAGAGGCAGGTCAGGGAGATTCATCTTTAGCCCCACAGCCCCAGGTGGCAAGGGAGCCCCTCAGTGACCTTGTCCAGGGCAGGGTAGTACACAGGATGGGAGGCCACCTCGGGGAGGCAGATGACCAGGGCGGCGGCGCTCTCAGTGTTGGGGTTACTCTGCACGGTTCCCGCAGGATTCAGCAGCTCCCCCTTCTCATCTAGACACAGGAATGGGAGAATGCCACCATGTCCCGGACCCCACTCCCCTGAGCGTCTCCCTCTGGGTCTGGGCCCACCTGGGACAGACGGCCACATGTAGAGGCAGCATTCACCCGTCTTGAGCTGGTCCTTGTAGTCAAACAGCATGAGGTTGGCCCAGGCGATGGGGCAGTCCTGGGAGAGAACACGGCAGGTCAGGGCCATCCACCCAGAACCCTGCACTTGCCCGTCTGCAGGGTGCGCCCAGGACTCCCTGCCCTCACCCAGACTTGCTGTGAGGAAGCCCAGAAGGCCAGCCGCCCCATCAGCTCCCTGCTGCCTCCCCATTCCCGGCATCTTGAGAAACCCCCAAAACCAACCACATCGGCCCCAGAAAGCTGGCCCAGCTCAGCTACGGGTGAGTCAATGTGGCTCAATGGCCAGTCACATCCTGGGCCTGGTGACTCAGTGCCCAACCACCACTCCCTCCCCGCAAGCTGCTGACTCAGGCCACCGTGCTCCTTGAGAGGACAGTGCATGCCCTTCCACCCCACAGAGCCACCTCCAGGTTCCCGAAAGGACCAAAGGCCCAGGCCCAGATACGCCGAGTCACCCTACTCACAAGCCCAGGAGCCCAGAGCCATACAGCGCAGGGGTGGAGGCCAGTGGGAGAGGGGTGGGGAGCCTGGGGTCCACAGGCCCCCTTGGGCCCCGGTCTCCAGGCTGAGTGCCTACTGGGAGCAGCCCGGGGCTGCAGGACTGGACGGCTGAGCGGGAGTGCACTGGCTCTCCGAGGCCCACCCCAGGCTGCAGGCCGGCCCACGCACCGCCTTCTTGGACTTCTTCTTGGTGGAGCGAGCCTTCTTAGCCTTCTCAATCACAGCGTAAAGTGCAAAGCAGAGACGGGCCATGCGAGGCAGGTCACAGACGTTGATGTCAAACTCCAGCCGCTGCTTCCACACGGGCTCTGAGCACACGCTCACCTCTGAGCTGGACACGGTCTTGCACAGCGTCTCATTGCCGTGGAAAAGCCCAGCCTGTACCACCAGCTGGGGAAGTGTGGGCATGGGTTGACAGGGGGCAGAGGCTCCCCGTACCCTCTCAGGTTCTCCCATTTCCCTAAGGCTCACATCTCATCCAGAGATGTCCTTTTTCTACGTGGGTCTGAATCCCACTTCCCATGTGCAAGGTGGTACGGAAGAGGAATGGGAGGCTGCCCCAGCGGGGCAAGTGGCCATGGGGAGAAGGGAAGGGCACCGTGAGCTGTGTGTGGGCTCCCCAGACTCTGTGGGACCCCGGGGCATGTCGCTCCCCTGCTCTGGGCCTCAGTTTCCCCCCCGGGGCTTGGGAGTTCCAGGGGCCCTCTTAGCTCTAATATGCAAGGGTTCCCCCCAACTGCTTCAATGGTGTGAGCCCCCAGCAGGCAGGGAGGCATTTACTGCCTCCTGAACACCTGGCCTTACTGCCTCCAACTCCATCAGCACAGCTCTCATCGCCCGGCCAAAAGCTGCCTCCCTGCAGTCCTCCGTGATTCTGCCAGGGAGCCCAAACCTGCCCGCTTGTAGAATTACCCCCCAAAAGTGCTCCCCAAAGAAACCCAACCTCTGGGGACCCAGGCTTTGCATCCTACAAATGAGGCAATAAAACATGGACCTCGCAGGCTGTCCTGAGGACTGAGGATCGGGGGTAAAGAGCCCAGCATTGGGCTTGGCTGCAGCGTCAGGGGACATGCTGGATAACCCCCCCCAAGTGTTCCCGGGAGCCCCAAAGCCACTGGCCCAGCTGGAACGGCTCCTCTTCTGTGCCTGTCACCTCCCAGACTCTGTGGTTCCCACATCTCTGGTCTGGGCCTGACCCCACAACCTCCACTTGTCCTATACCCAGAACTTGCTGGGCCAGGGTTTCTACGAATCAGCCTCTCTGGCCGGCTAGCCTGCTCCCCTCCCCTCTTCCTGTTTTGAAGCAGCTCACAACTACCCCAGGCAGGGATGCTGGGTAATGTGGCTTTCGTGTGACACCCCCTTCTTCCTCTGCCACCCCTCTAGGCCACAACCATCTTGTTTGTGCAGAACACACACACACACACATACACACCAGGCCTGGCTCGGCACCCCCAGCCCTGCACCATCTCGCCCCTACCTTCATCCGCTCGTCCGCATTCACTTTGCTGCCCTGGACCAGGTCGATGGAGAAGGGCTTCTCCAAGGACCACAGCGACACAGAGGAGGGCTGGGGCGGAGTAGGGGCAGAAGCAGAGTCATTAAGAGTGGAAGAGTCCAGAGGTGGCGGGGGTGGGGTGGGGTGGGGTGGGAGCGCTGCGGGTTCGTGGCGATCTCGGGTGCCTGCCCACACCCCATCCTTTACGAGGAGCCCGCTGTGTTCTGCAGGCCTGGGAGGTCTGCCTACAGTGCAGGGAGCAAGAGGGGCGTGAGGAGAAGGGCAGCCTGAGCGCTGGGCCTGAAAGCTACCCCAGGAAGCTCAGCACCTGCACGCAGCACGTTGGCCATAGGGCTGCCAAATCTGAGCCCCAACTCTCAACACTGACCAGCCAAGGGGCATGAGACAAGGGGACCCTGGACCCACTGCCAGCCCAAAGGGCTGCCCAATAGGCTCTAGGGCTGGGCAACAGGTGGACGGAAGGGACAGAGGGGACAATAAGAGGAAGGCATCAGCTCACCTTCTTCATGGGAATGGGGGGTGGTTTAGTGCGCGGTTTTTGGACTTGGGAGGTGGGGTTGCTCTGCTCGTCTCTCATGGCGAGGATGGATGAGGAGTGCACCATGGTCAGGTGGGGGGTCAGCCCGCTGTGCAGGCAGCTGCAGATGTACTGAGATGAGGGCTAGAGTGAGTGGCCGGTGGGGCAGCCTCCCAATTCCCTGGACAACCGGCTCCCCGGGGCTCCCCCTGCTGCCCACTGCCTACCCCAGGCCTTCAGAGACCTCTCTTGCTGGCTCTTCCTGTGCCCACCCGCCTCCTGAAAGTGGAGTTCTCCTTGTGCTCATGGGGAGGGCCAGTCAGTAAGGGGACACTGTTGCTGTGATCCCCAAAGGCCTGGCTCACTGGGCTCAAAAGGGCCAAAGGACCAATTCTCCCCAGCCCACCCAGACCTCACCCCTCACCTGGAACTGGCAGAGGGGGTAGCTGCCGTACAGGTACTCGTGCTTTCCGTTCACCTGAAGCGTGTAGTCCTGAGGCTGCTCCACCAGGGGCTGCCGGAACACCGTGGCCTTCTTCCGGAGAGCACAGGCCATCAGTGCCAGGGGTTCATCCTTGGTGGACACCTGGAAGGTGAAGCTGTCCTAGAGGGAGGAGGGTGGATCAGCCCTCTTGAGGGCCCAGAGAGTTCTGGGGCGTGGTGGGCGGGGGTTGCCGGCTCCCCTGCCCACCGAATGTGAACTCTATGAGGACAGGGTCTGACAAAGACATTCAAATATCTGTTGAATGAACGAAGGCCATTTGGTCACTCAGCTTTGTCGAACTTGCCTGGTGGAACATTTGCATGCACAGCATACCACACAAATACCACCTGACACTACTGGGGGGAGAGTGAATTTGGGGGCCTGTGAATGACTGGGAAGTCTCACAGAGGACGTGCCCCCATGTGCGCAGCAGCCTGGAAGCAGCAAATGGGACTGTGCCCCCAGCAGGAGCCACGGGCTCACCTCACTACCCTCGAACTTGACGTTGACCAGGAGGGCCCGGTTGGGGACCCGCAGGGTGCCCGCTCCCCAGCTCCGTGCCGAGGGCTCCAGCTGCAGAGGGAAGCTGTACTGCATCCAGGCCTCCCAGCCCAGCTGCTGCCGGTGGGCGGCCGCGTCCTCACAGAACTGGCGCATCTTGGTGCGAAAGTCATTCACTTCCGGGTCATTCAAGGAGTCAAACTCGTGGAGGCCTGAGAGGCAGGAGGCGGGGGTCAGCGTGGGGCCCCCAGGGGCAGGCCTAGGCAGGCCCTGGCTGGGGAGGGCAGCCTGGACCATGCAGCGCACCTTTGCCGATGAGGAGGCTGATCTGGCTGTTGACGAGCTTCTTCACCCTGTCACCCTGGCGGGCCACCAGGCGCAGCACCGGCAGGAAAGGCTGGATGTCGCACAGCCGCCGCTGCTCGTCCTCCAGCTCCTGCTGCTCTGCCGTCTGGTTGACACAGGTGAACACGTAGGCCTCGGGATCGCTGAGCATGTGGAAGAGCGGCTCATACTGGGCTCGGTGCCACAGTTCCTGGGAGGGACAGTCGCAGGTCAGGCGGAGGCAGGCAGGGGGCCCCCAGGGAGCTGGGAAGTGGGTGGGGGCTGGCCTCAGTCTGGGGGTCCCCCTGCAGGACACTGACAAGAAGGTAAAGGCAAGATCCCAGAACCGCTCTTCTCTGACCCCATGGGTCCCTCCCTGCCCTCCGTAAAGGGAGACAGGTCTGTGCCAAAATCTGGAGCCTAGCAGCTCATCCTACCGTCTCCCTGTAAGTTACCCTGCAAGGCGGCCAGCCAGACGTGACCTCCAGGCACCCCCAGCTACTCGTTCTGGGGTTCATCTCCCTGATTTATAAGTGCTGGCAATGAATTCAGAAAAGTTTAACACACTGAGAGGACATAAAACTCTTTGCAGGCTGTGTTCAGCAAAGAGTGTCAGTGTGTGACCCAGAATCTAGGGATACGAACAGGCACAGAGGGTTCCAAGATACATTATTAAGTGGGAAAAAATACACTAGTTGTAGAACCTCAGATATAATTCAAGCCCATTTCCATAAAAACAATAATATTTAGTGATATAGACCAGGATAAGGCAAACTACGGTTTGTGGGCCAGATACTGGAAGAAAGCCACATCGATTCTTTTACATAATGTCTATGGCTGCTTTTGCCCTACAGTGGCAGAGTGCAGTGGTTCTGACAAATACCACGTGGCCAGCAGAGCCTAGAATATTTACTATCTGGCCCCTAGTATACATAAAAATATGAAGAAATTGAAAGCAAGTTTGGGTGTGGTGAAACTGCAGGACCAATGTATTGTACATTTCTGCAGTGTTTTGAATTTTAATATCATGCATATAGAGCTCATGAACAGAAAAATAACATTACCCCTAAAGTGATATTTATATAGTTAATCACATGAAACACATGCTATTATGTTAAAGCAGGGGGAAGAAAAGATATCAAAGTTCATAATCAGAATTTTCACAAAAAACAACTACATAATTGATAAGTTTTCACAAATGCCTGGGTTACCTAACTGGTTTTCTTGGTTTCACTGGATATGGCTGGTAATTGTCGGTCTGCTTTTGTTATGTATCTGTATTCCTATTCTGTTAATGTGTGTATGCAATCTAATTAGTAGTTTGTTAAAACCTACCTATACAGGCTTATGTTACTCTACAAGAAGTTATGTCAAAGAAATAATCAATCTTCCCATGTTTTCTTCCATCTGCTACTTCTATAGCTTTTCTTCTTCCTTCCTAATTACAGTCCTTTAGAAGAATTCGTGCCTCATATTTAAAATTACCAAGTATCATAATTCTTCCAAGCGGTAAAGATACCTCAAGGCAAGTGCTGGGCACAGAAGCCACAGGGCATAAATCTGCAGTGAAGTAAAAAGCTAACCTTTTCAAAGAATATTGTTTCTCTCTCACTCACCAAATTTACATTTCCCTGTATGGCCCCGGAAGATGGCTGGTTAGCCAGAGACGGGTAAGATTCCTCAAGGGAGGAACAACCTAAGACAGGCACAGTCGCAGGGGGGCCATCAGGTGAGAAATTGGGGATCAACAGAGGTGAGGCTCAGAACCTCATCCCCCCTGCTTTGAGAGAAATCTTCTGCATCCGTGGATGTTTTGCTGCCCTTGTCTAGCTTGGATTAATACTTAGTCTATAGGCACAGACCTGATCATTTACACTTGCCCTCTTACAGCACTAAATTATGTTTTCTATCTTTATCTTGCATTTACCTACCACTTCAGCATTTTATTTAAAAAAAAAAATAAGGGTGAAATGTGGGATTCACATATAAATCAAGTATAAAAATCAAATGAATAATCATATCTGACTTGATTGTTTATAGTTCATGGTGTGTGATCAAAACCGAAAGTTTCTGTGATGACTGCCCTTGCACTGTTCACCATGTAAGAACTTATTCACTATGTAAGAACTTGTTTGTTATGCTTCAGAAGATTGGGCAATGTTGACAGGCTTGGGGTTGATTAATGATTGTGCATTGAGTCCCCTATACAGAATTTTATTGTTGTAAACAACCATTTGATCAATAAATATGAGAGGTGCCCTCTCAAAAATAAAAAATAAAATAAAAAATAAAAAACCAACTACATAGGAAAGCTAACAGGCAACAGTCCAAGTGCTAACTGTGGTCGCCCCATACGGCTGGATCACAATTGGTTTTTCCCTTTTCCTTTTTTAAAAATTTTAATCACAAAAATTTTTTATTGAAATACAGTTGTTATACAGTATTATATTTGTTTAGATGAACAACATAGTGATTCAACAATTATATACATTACTAAATGCTCACTACCATAAGTGGAGTTACCATGGGTCACCGCACAAAGGTACTACAGTATTATTGGCTATATTGCCTATGTTGTATTCCATCCCTGTGATGAATTTATTTTATAATATGTAGTTTGTACCTCTTTATCCCCTTTGCCTATTTCACCTGCCCCCCCACCCCTTATATTTTTCCTTTGTTTCCTAAATTTGAATATGTCTCTATTACTTTTGAAATGGAAAAAATGTATATTTAAAAGAAATCTCCCAGGAAAAAAAGATTTTTAAAAACCCCAGAAAACTCAGGGATAATCCATTGCTTTTTTCCTTTTTTTCCCAGCTCTCAAGTATAGCTTTTAAAATTCTGAGCTAAGGTCTTGCCTTCTGGCTGACTTTAAATCCCACACTTGGCAATAAGCCCTTAGAAGGGTGGAAGGAGAGTATCTACCAAATACACCCAGATGTCTAATCCTTGGACTCAGTAATCCACCTGGAAATCATTCAATGAAACCAAAAACTATTTCCAAAGATGATGTTTAGTATATGTTGACAGCTCTGAAGACAAAGACCAGTAAAACTCTTAAGTATCTGTGGATGGGGTTCATCCCAGACGTGATGGCACAGTCATGGAAGGAGTGAAAGGCCACCGGGGGGCCACGCCCCGCAGCCACGCCATGGAGACCCTACTGATGAAGGGTGAGCTGAATTCAGGACACCAGGTGGACACTAACCGAACGTTTTTAAACAACTCCTGGATATTATGTGTACCTTTTAAAGTTTGTATCCGATGATCTCAAATTGGGAGAAACTATGCGTGTGAGCATTACAGTCTTTCTGAGTTCAAGCTCTGAGGATTAGTTTAAGGTCAAGATGGTACCTTCTTGATGGCGCTGAGGTTGGCATTTCGGGACACAGGGATTTCCTTTTTTTCCCAGCTCTCAAGTATAGCTTTTAAAATTCTGAGCTAAGGTCTTGCCTTCTGGCTGACTTTAAATCCCACACTTGGCAATAAGCCCTTAGAAGGGTGGAAGGAGAGTATCTACCAAATACACCCAGATGTCTAATCCTTGGACTCAGTAATCCACCTGGAAATCATTCAATGAAACCAAAAACTATTTCCAAAGATGATGTTTAGTATATGTTGACAGCTCTGAAGACAAAGACCAGTAAAACTCTTAAGTATCTGTGGATGGGGTTCATCCCAGACGTGATGGCACAGTCATGGAGGGACTGAAAGGCCACCGGGGGGCCACGCCCCGCAGCCACGCCCCGCAGCTCACGCCATGGAGACCCTACTGATGAAGGGTGAGCTGAATTCAGGACACCAGGTGGACACTAACCGAACGTTTTTAAACAACTCCTGGATATTATGTGTACCTTTTAAAGTTTGTATCCGATGATCTCAAATTGGGAGAAACTATGCGTGTGAGCATTACAGTCTTTCTGAGTTCAAGCTCTGAGGATTAGTTTAAGGTCAAGATGGTACCTTCTTGATGGCGCTGAGGTTGGCATTTCGGGACACAGGGAAGTTCAGATAGACTCCTGTGGGCAGCAGAAAGTCGACCGCCACGTTCTGACTCTCCTCCTTGGTCCAGAATTCCATGGGGCAGTCGACCCCCGGGGGCATCCTGCTGTTTCACTTCCCAGACCCCAGCTGTGCTGAAAAGGAAGCAAAGGCAAAATGAGCCACCCCAGGAGCGAGTCCCTGGAAAGGACACTGTGGGAAACAGGATGTCAGGACCTTGGACAGCAGGAGGCTCATGACAGAGGCACCCAAAGCTCTTCTCCTGATGGGCCTCATCCGGCCAGGGGTGACCGGTGGCTCCTGCTACCCCAGGCCACCCGCTTGGCTGAGCTGCCTCCCATCACAGGTGGGCACTCTGCATCCTCCAGGCAATGGCCCCAATCCAAGACACCAACAGACCCATTCCAAATTTTTTTTTCAGGAACACACATATTTGGGAAACCCCGCCATGGCCACTAGCTGGCAAGCGTGGGAATTGGCAGGATCGGTGGTCAGACAACCAAGGACTTGAGAAGGACCCAGGGCTGCAGTTCTTTGGAACTTTCTCCAGAAACCAGGTGGCTTAAAAATGGCTTTGGCCATCAAACAATTTGTTGAAATATCTCAGTCAGGCTAAAGCCAGTCCCACCCACTCCCCACGAAGTAACCAAATGTTACAGACCCAATTAAAGGCCTTTGAGTATCTCTCTCCCACTCCAGGTTACCACCCTCCTGCATTCTGGTTGTTTATAATTTCCATGACTTTTTATGCTTTCATTCTATTCATATGTATCCACAGATAATTTCTAATATTTTTGCACATTTTAACACTTTGTATGAATAATGAGTCTTCTGCAACTTGCTTTGGCCACTCAACAGAGATTTCTCAGATACAGCTACACTTCCTTGAACTCTCACATGGCATTTCACTGTGTAAATAAACAACCATTTATTTACCCTTTCTCTTGTTGATGAACCCTAAGGTTTGTTTCTACTCTTTTTGGTTATTACAAACGCTATGATATATATTCTCACACACATCTCCCTATGTACATGTCCGAATCTGGATAGGTGCTACCCAAGAGAAATATAATTTGAACTACATGTGTAATGTCAAAGTTGCCAGTAGCTACATTAAGGAAAAAAGTGAAAAAAAAACTAAAAATTAAGCTTACTAATATGTTATTAACCCAAAATATGAAAAATGTGGTCATTTCAATATGTAATAGAAAAATTGTCTAAGTGTCTGTGGATGGGGTGTGATTCCAGATGTGATGGCACAGTCTGGAGATATTTTACATCCTTTTTTTGATATTAAGTCTTTGAAATCTGGTGTGTATTTTTTACACTTAGAGCAAATGGCAATTTTGAACACTAGAGTTTCATCAGAAATACTTCATATGTATGTAGATCTCATATAATTTACAGGAAAAAAAGTAGGTTCACAGACTCAAGTTGTTGCAAATATACTTAAAAGTTTTCCAATACATGAATTGGATATCAATTCTTATATCTGAATGAATTAAAATGAAATAAAATGCTTAAAAACTCTGTTGCTTAATCACACTGTCACGCTTCTAGTGCTTGTGAACTACGCGTGGCTGGTGGCTGCCACACTGGACAGCACAAGTCCAGGGTGTATATCCATGAGCGGAATTGCTGGATCGTAGGTATAACCATGTTAGTGACTACCAAAGTTAAACGGTGGTGCCCGTTAGCAATGGAAGTGCTTCCTTGTGCGTGATTTCTTTACCAGCTCTCGGTATTGTCAACTTTACTCATTTCCACCAATCTGATGGGCATGAAATGCTCCCTTGTTTTAATTTGCATTTCCCTGAATACTCGTAAAATGTTTACCTTCTGCAAATAGTCTGCTTTTAAACTTTGCCCATTTTTCCATGGGGTTGTCTTTTTCTTATTGGTTTGTAGCATTTCCTTACATACTCTAGACCAAATTCCTTTGTTGATTAAATGAGTTGAAAATGTCTTCAAGTTGGAGTCAACTTTTCATTGTGTTTATGTTGTCTTTTTTCTTTTTTCATTCATGAGATATTTATTAAAATAACACGTTTAGGGAAAAAAAAGCAATACAATGTATATATCATTACTGAAAATTGTATACCATCATACAAAAAATGATTTCATTTTGGGAAATTGATTCCTAATTTACAGCAAGTCTATTTTCAGAAATGAAACCACAAAACAACACAATCAAATTCCATCTCAAAGGCTGGCATGCTGAGCAAGGAATGTTCTTATTCATTGTAGGGGCATCTTCTTTCCACTGTCAGGTGCCAGGGCTCTGTGTTTTGGTGTGACTTTAGCCCACTAAGTCATCAGCAGTAACGTGTTCTGGTCCTTTAATGACCTCTTTCTTCACTGTGGGCCTCAATTGGTCCTTCTGACCACATTCAATTAACTTTGCTCTTGGCACCTCTGAGATGTTCTCTTTCTCCAGCTCCTATCGACTTTTGGTTAATCGCTGCTCTCATTGGTGCATCTTTGTTCATCTTGCTAGCCACCAACACCACAGGCAAGAGCTGTCCCTTGGCAGTGACAAAATGACCCTTGCACTGACGACTGTTACCTACCACACTCTTCGGCTGCCCAGCCCTCTATGGTGGCTTTTTGATGAGCAGAAGGTTTTAATGTTGATGTAGTTGAATCTGTTCCCTTATGCTTTATCATTTTTATTCTTTAGAAAAAAAAATACTTCTCTACCCTAAACTAAGGTCACATCATCCTAGATTTAAATGACTTTGAAAAATAGTTGAGAGAAAATAATTCATTTAAGAGCCATCCTCTTGGTGGCTTTACCATTTGGACCCGGCCTCACTCTCAGCTGGATGCAGGAGCAGCTCTGAGCAGCAGGACACACACATCACTGGAGCTACCATGTTACCACTGTTGGAATCCACTTCCTCCGATTGTAAAACCACATCCTAGTTTGGGTTCCTCTTACTGAGCATGGCAAGGTCAAAGGCTTTCTTTTTGATTGAAAATATGGGGGACAGTCAGAAATCCTGGAGATCCACTTACAATGCTTAATGTGTTTTGGCTGAGCTCGGGAAGTCAGGGGCCACTCAATCCTGAGGCTGAGTAAAACACATGTGGTGTGAGCTCCCCCAGGACTCTAGCCAAAGGGACAGGGCTCCAGACAAATGCACACCCGTTCCCCTGCCCCTTCGCACTACAGAAATGACACCTATGACTCCACTCACCCATCTGGGACTCAGGGAAAACACTTATTCCTACAAGAGGCAGACTCAGGATGGTGTGGGCAGGATAGAATCAAATGCCAGAGCCAGGGCAGAAGAAAGCAGGAACTCCTTTTCTTTGTGGGACCAGGGTGCAGCCAGAATCAAGACCCAACTCTTGATGAAGATGGGACTCATCATTCTGCAGTACATGTGGGACAGAGCCAGCTAATTTGGGGCTTTAGAACTATGCATCCTCCACCTAGAACCATGTGAATTGGTACAGCCACTTTGAAGATCTGTTTGGCAGTATCCGCTAAGGCTGAACACACGTATGTCTTCCTGCCAGCAATTAATTCCACTCCTAGGTGTATACTCACCAGAAATATGAGTATATATGCACCAAAAGATGCATACAAAAGTGTCTACAGCATTGTTGTTCATGATAGCTCCAGACTGGAAACTTCCCAAACACACATCAGCAATAGAATGAAAAATAAATTATGGTATCTTCTCCCAGTGGAATGGTATTTGGGAGAATGAGAATTAATAAACTACAAATACAACAATATAAATGCACCTCACAAAAATAAAGCTGAACAAGGGAAGTTAGGCACAAAAGAATATGTGCTCAAGATTCTGATTATATAGAGAACGCAGGCAGAACTGATTTATGTTGGCAGAAGAAAAGATGGTTTCCCCCTGGAGGAGGGCAGTTACCCCAGGGGAAGGAGAATGAGGAGCTTCTGGGTGCTGGCAATTTTTTTTCCTGTGCTTTTCTTTTTTAATCGATATACAATCTTATATTAGTTTCAAGTACATACACAGTGGTTCAACAGTTACCCATATTATTAAATTCTTACCCCCACTAGTGCAGTTCCTACCTATTAGTCAACATAGGAAGATGTTAAAGAATCATTGCTATATTCTCCATGCGGTACTACCATTCCCATGACCAACCTATATTATTATTGTTTTTATATATATCTTTTAAAGTATCATTAATATACAATCTTATGTTGGTTTCAGATGTACATCATAGTGGTTCAAAAGTCTCCATGATCAATTTATATTGTGATTGTGAATTATTGTGCCCTTTTATCCCCCTCCCTGTTGAACTCGTCCAAACCCCTCCCCCTTAGTAACCATTAGTCACTTCTCAGGGTCTTTGAATCTAATGCTGTTTTGTTCCTTCTGTTTTGCTTTGTTTTTATATTCCACAAATAAGTGAAATCATATGGTATTTGTCTTTCTCTGCCTGGCTTATTTCACTGAACATAATGCCCTCTAGCTCCATCCACATTGTTGCAAATGGTAGGATTTGTTTTCTTCTTATGGCTGAGTAATATTCCATTGTGTATATGCACCACATCTTTATCCATTCATCTGCTGATGGACACTTAGGTTGCTTCCATATCTTGGCTATTGCAAATAGTGCTGCGATAAACACAAGGGTTACATATTATCTTTTCGAATTAGGGATTTGGTTTTCTTCAGGTACGTTACTAGGGGTGGAATTCCTGGGTCAAATGGTATTTCTAATTTTAGTTTTTGGAGGAACCTCCATACTGCTTTCCACAGCAGTTTCACCAATTTGCATTCCCACCAACAGTATAGGAGGGTTCCTTTTTCTCCACATCTTCATCAGCATTTGTTGTTTCTTGTCTTTTGGACAGTGGCCATTCTAACTGGTGTGAGGTGGTATCTCACGGTGGTTTTAATTTGCATTTCCCTGATGATTAGCGATGTAGAGCATCTTTTCATGTGCCTGTTGACCATTTGTACTTCTTTGAAGAAGTGTCTGTTCAGGTTCTCTGTCCATTTTTTAATTGGGTTATTTGTTTTTTGGGGTGTTGAGGCATATAAGTTCTTTATGTATTTTGGATATAAATCCCTTAATTTTCAGTTTCTTGATCTAGATGCTTAGGACTTTTCACAAACTCGGCATACCCTCAATC